CATATGCTTTTAAACATCACAGATGCATGCTTTAAAAAACGAGATTAAAAAAAAAAACGGGATAAAACCAGGTTACTTCAGATGACAGGTGCTAGTTCCATATTTAACCCAGAGTTACAAAGGCTTACATCTTTTTTGTTTGTATTTTTTTCTCAATCAAAGGTTACTTAATACACACAGCATTTGTAGGAAAATAACAACAAAAGCCTCCACAGAGCAATTCATTTGCTGTCTATAACCATTAACAAAATATTGGGGAACTTTTCTTTTCCAACTATGGGCAGTACACCTCGTTCATCATGGAGATATCATTTCTTTACTCAGAGTTGAGAGAGCTCTCATATTTTGAATCATTCTTAGGGCTGCCCTGTTTGTGATGGTTCTGTCTAACCTTGCATCCCTTAACTCTATCAGAATGGGCTATAAGCTTTCTCTATAAAACTCACATATGAGAAAGGGTTGAAAGTTGGCTCATATAAATGACAAATATAACAAAATTAATAAAACATTAGAACCAGAGTTAAGATGAGAAAAGCAGTAAGGGAAGAGAGAGTTGAGTGAACTTGGCAGAAAGCTTTTGCTTGCCAACGTGAAGATGAAATTCTACTATGTTACATCACATTTCACATTCACTATCAGGAGGAAACATACATGCTTTTCTCAGTGTCGAAGTCTGAGACAGAATTTCTTTGATATATTTCTCAGATAAACCAAACCACAGGGACTCAGGATGGTTGGTCTGAGGAGATGCATTTGCCAGTTATCTTCTTACATTTTTAGATGTGAATGCTGAACATACATAAGTCAGGATGGCATGGAGGCTTCATTATAGTCCCTGGTCTACTACACATGTTACTGCATTGTTCTCAATGATAATTCCAAAAAGATCTAATCCAAATGTTTAATCGGGAGAACTTTAAGGAAAAACTCAGAGAATCCCTGTCCTTGACCTTTCACAGGAAGGAAAGTCTGATAAAAAAAAAAAATAGAAAAGAAGTAACTACATAGCTGCGACAAATTTGCATAATCCCAAATGGCAGCCTGGGGGAGTTGAATTATGGCGATGGTGTGAAAAACTGTGTTTCGAGGCGACGGGCAAACTAAGGGCAGTAAAATATTCCTGGCTCAGGAATGATGTACCACTCTGTGTAAAGAACCCAGGGTAGATTAGAACAAAAGGGAAAACTTGGAGCAACAACAACTCCCAAACTTTTTCACACGGGAACTGTGCTCAAGAATGAAAATGTCCTAGGTAGACAGTAGGTTCCAAAGTTTTTCTGCTTTCTTAAAACCTGCAGATATTCCACTTACAGATCTAAGTGGAGCACCTAGTGATCCAAGGAGCTCTTCCTACTCCCCGTGACGATAAGGCAAGTAAGAATATCTGTGCAGTCACAAAAGCAGTCGTGTTAGTTCCAGTTCAGTGAGAAATCATGATTGTGTCCTTGAAATATTTGATAAGCAGTATATAGAAATCATGAATTTTAAAAAGAGGCATTTACATTTTCGATTTCATTCTAGGGCTCATTCTAGGAAGCTCTTTTTGGAAGGTTGAGATTCTCTGAGTGAGCTAAATGGTCAATACTGACACTGTGTTCCTTTCTCTGGATTTATGATATGTACACCATCCTGAAGATGATTAGCCAGTGACAATGCCACTTCTAAAGGGTCCCAGGACCTCATTTTGCTGTTCTTTCCATTCGCCAAATCGCAAAGCCACATGTGCTAATGAAATGGTATAATACTCAATCCCATAGAAAAACACATGCCATAGTTTACTTGTATAACAACTTCTTTAACACATGAGAGGAGAGTGGAGATGGGTATTCCATTAGAGTCACTAGGGGTGATGGAAATGGACTGAAGTGGGCAAATAAAATACTCTTCTGGCTACGTGCCTAGCTATCAGTTTGGAGTTCCCTACAGCATGGAGCCTCCGAGGGCTTCAATTGCTGAGTAGAAAAATGGGAACAGTGGTTTTAAGTACTCTTTTACTTCTTTCAAAGTAAGTTTTAGTTAATAAAATTCACTCCCTATAAACTATCACCACCAAAACTTCAGAGTTTCAAACCGAGTGTTGTTGAGAAGCAACAGAGAAAATGGATTTATTTGAAGCGATGGCATGTACAAGCTCTTTTAGAAAGGAATATTGAGTGCATCTAGGTTTTGGTTGTTATTGGGATCAGAGTGAGCATCTTACCTATTAAGGTGTGGGAATAAACTTGGTCTTAGGGTCAAGACCAGGTAAGAGAAGGGAAGTGAAAGGAAAAATGTAAATTGGCTTCAGTGAGGGTCAGCTGACATTTGAGCCATTCTACTTTGAGTGATTTTTTTTTTTGTTATTGGATCATGCTGCGTACATTCTCCATCCATACTCAGGATACTACAAAGCATCTGTGTGAACGAATGAATCCCTTATGTCTGCTGTAAAGCCTATAGATTTGGCCACTTAATTAATCAACTCATTCGGTTCCTTTGGGACATTCTCCTAAACTCATTTGTCATTTTGGGGGAAGATATTAAAAGACGGAGTTCCTATATTTTTGAATAAAAGTACTATTTTTAACGCTGAACAAATACAAGGTAATACACTTCAAAACATTATTTTAATTTCCAAGTGGCCAGCAGTGTTAACCATTGCTTTAATTGCAAGACATAGGGTCATAGAATGTTAGGGTGGAAGAGATTTCCCAAGTTATACAGTCAAATTTGTAATCTTCTCTTAAATCTCCACCTACTATTTTAATGAAGAGCTATTCAGTTCAACTGAATAGGCTTCATGTGGGCAAAGACCAAGTCTGTTTCATTCACAACTACATGTTCCTTTCTCTGAGCCACATTGTATGGTGGCTAATAAACAAGAGTGGAGTGAAGGAACAAAGAAGTAGAATGAGATTCCTTTTTATGTTGCGGACACTGTGCTAGGAGCTGGGCATTCAAACATACATGGCATGACCCTTGCTTATGGGAACCTCGCTTTAAGTGACCAGCTACAATACATGGGAAATGTAAGCGTGACAGCTGAAGGATGTGTGGTGATCTCTGAAAGCACTGACTGGGGGCTATTTCTTCTGCTCGGTGGGAGCTGTGGGTGGGAGACAACTCAGGACAAACTACAAACACAGAAGCCGTTTGAACTGGGCCTTGAGGGCTGAGTGGGAGATCACTAGGCACATAAGGCTGGGGTGATCCAGGCCAAGGGAAGAGCATTTGCAAAGGCAGAGAGTTAGGAGAAAAGCTGGCATATTTGGGTAAAGGGGTGGTAGGGCCAGAGTGTATGGAATGGCTGAAGAAGGATGGGAGTAACAATCAGGAATTTCAACCAGGGCTAGGAAGAAAAGGGCCACCTGCCCTCTTCATTCCTTGGACTTCATTCTGTGGCAGGCAGTCTCCTGCGATGACTTTGGGTTGGAGTTGGATGAAGACGGATAATGTAGACATCCAGTAAAGAAACTGTTCATTCACTCATTCATTAGCCAAATACTTAAAATGCAGTGTTTATCACTTGTCATGAGCACCAGGGGTTGCAGGGAAGGGCTGAATCACTCAACTATACACCTGAAACTAACATAACACTGTATGTTAACTAACTGGAATTTAAATAAAAACATAAAAAAAAAGAAAATGTAGTGTTTATGATATGCCAGAACATGGGCTTAAAAATGGGATTGGCATGGGATTTAAAGAAATATAATACAACAATCTGAGTACCACACTCTGGGGGCTGGAACAGGACACTGGTTGAAAAGAGGAGAGAAAATAGAAAAGATATATTTAGAGGTAAAATGAGTGGCCAAGTGCAATTGGTAAAAATGTAGAAGGACTTAAGGAAAGAACTCAAATGTCAAGCCTGAGCAACTTGACATTGGCAACAAAGAAGAAAGGGTGGGTAAAAGGGGATAGCAGCAGAGGAATGGGCAAACATGAGAATGAATGAACTTGGTTTCAGAAGGGCTGCATTTTGATTCCTTTAATGACATATGGGGGAGGAGGGTGGCCAGGAGATCCAGACCGGAAATGGATATTTGTCACCATACTCTCCATTTCAAATTGGGAGCATTTACACAATACAAAGGGCATGGAGCTAAGTTTAGAAACTTTGGTGTGCCAACATCTGAAGGGTGAGGAGAGTTTCAGAATTGAGGAAAATAAAGGAAAATGAAGGAAGAAGAAGAATGGGGATGAAACAATGCCACGGAGGGCAAGGGAGAAGAGACCTTCCAGAATGAGACTGCCGGCAAACACGCCGAGTGCAGGTGAGAATTTCACTTCTTTTGAATTTGAACTTTTGTTGGTTTTGATGCTAGATGAGTAAACAAAATAGGTTTTCAAGTTGCTGGTTTTCAAAATGATACTCCTAAACACGTATATTCTTTCTTTATAAATATATGTATCATCTTTGTGACACAAGGGAATTTAACTTTGGTCTTGGGGACAGTATTCCAAATATATAATGATATTTCCTAATATCTGCAGTGGACTAATACAACTCAAAATTGTATCACACACACTGCTTTCTAAGGGAAGGGCAGCAGTAACAGCCTCAATTAACAGTACCATAACTCACCCAAGTCATATAATTTAGTTAGCACAAAGGCCAAAGCCTAGATTCCTGGCTCTTGATCAAGTGTTATATTTTTCCCTACTCTGATACTAAGTTTCACAAAGAACATACACACACACACACACACACACCCCAGATCATTTTAGTACAAACGCCTAAATTCATTTCCTAATAGCAAAATCAGAATGATTGTTTCACCCTGTACCTTTTTAATATTTCATTCCACATTACTAAAGACAGAGATGATTAGATCACTATCTCCTCTTAGAGAAAATACCACATGCAATATGATTTTGAATTTGTGAAAGACAGACTGATTTCTAAAGCTTAAGGGCGCTATGTTTAACTTTATGAGAAGAAAATACTGCACTCAAGTTCAGATTAGAACCTCTTTTGAGTCTCTCAAAGGGCCCTGAAGCAAAGCAATAGATGGTACCTTGACTTTTTCGAGGTGATCTTGGAGAGAGTCAATGAGGAGGTCACCCACAGGCTGCCAGGATCCCTTGATCACCTCAGCCTGACGTAGTTTGAGGTCCAGCTTATCCGTTGCTTCCTGAAGTTCCTGGAGTCTTTCGAGGGCCTCATCTATTTTTCTCTGCCAGTCTGCAGACTGCAGGTTCAATTTTTCCCACTCAGTGTTGACCTCCTCAGCCTGCTTTCGTAGGAGCCGTGTGACATTCTGGGCTCTCTCCTCAGGAGGCAGCTCTAAATTGGTAATATGACAAGGTTTTAGGCCACAGTCATTTTCATTTAAAAAAAAAACAAAACATTGTTGAAAAGGTCATACTGGAAGAAAGAGAGTACAGTCTAACAAGAGACGGACCCGCTGATTAATGGTTCCTTTACACTTCGGCATAAATTTTGATAGTGTCCGGCCCATCTCAAGTCTGTCCTCCTGAGTGTATCTGTGCTACTTTCTATCATTCAGATAATCCAAGATTCATTTAAGCTACTGAGTAGAGAAATGCACACCACAAGCTCTAATTTACTTCAGTCAGGCTCTTAAATTGAAAATTAGCTTGTAGTCTTTGTAACAATAGAATTCCTTCTCACAGATCATCTCTTTTGTTTATTATTTTCTAAATGTTTCAATAACTGATCACTAATCTCTTTTACTGTTTATTTATGAATGTGCAAACAGATTTAGGCATGGTGGTTTATGATTCCTTTTTCTTTTTCAACATCTATGTTTAATTTGAATCGATTCTATTTAACTTAGAAAATATGAGAGCTATCCAGACCCTGGCAGCAAGAAGGGATGGGTCATTCTGTCACCACTGATCCTTCTATCAATATGTTATTACAGTTCCACATTCAATTACCTCTGGGCTCCTGGTAGAGTTTCTCTAGTCCTTCTAAAGGCTGCTCTGTCAGAAATATTCGTACGGTCTCAAGAGTACTCATGATTACAGGTTCTTTCGTTTTCAATTCCCTCTTGAAGGCCTGTGAAATGAGATGAAAAGAAATGCTTATTTGGCTTGTGGCATTCTTCTCAAAATTAATCCTGGGTGTTCAGAACTTGGTTATGGAATTCCCAGGTCAATTTCTATCTCCTTTATTTTTAAACCGATAGTCACAAAATGATAAAGAAGGCTATATGGATCTTCCTGTTAATCAGAAGCCATTGTGTCTGTAAAGCTATTCTGGAGAGCATGGGGGGAACTTCTAAGACATGTTAATGCCTTTTCATTAAGATAAGAGTGATTTATTTGTACAACCTGACTGCCAAACTTGAAATCTGAAGCCAAAGTTGCAAGATACACATTGCAAAGCCTTAGCAGGGCTAATGAATACTTCATGCACCCAAAACAATGGTTATCCAGAACATAGGGAGCCTGAAGGGCCATTTGGAAGAACTTAGGTTGTACTGAAATATACAGCCAATCCAATTCATAACTACCAGCTTATTCTGTCAAAATATCTGACAACAAATAAAATGAAATATTAACAGTAAACTATGTAAAAACTCAGTACTTCTGAAAAATACCCAATACATTATCCAATGTGACTTCTTTGAGAATGGTAGAAATGTTTTGATGTATACTGGATGTAGGAATTGTGGGAATAGGTTTCTATAAAAGGATAGGCCTAGAATCTGTCTCCTGGGGTCATCTATGCTAGTTATCAGTTTTAATCTCTAATCTGTAATCTTCACGGATACAGGGGGTTAAAAGGAAAGCAGAATGCATAGTTTCTGCCTTCAGGAAGCTTCTGGATGAAAAGAAGGGAGAAAACTAACACACTAGAAACAGAGCGAAAACAATAAACTTCATACATAATTGAGTCCTAAGGCTTGTGAGACATCGTGTGAGGCTAGAATAAATTGAGAGATACTTGGAAACCATCAAAGATACTCATTGACCAGATTCTGCCATCTCAGAAGTGAAGATGTTAATGAAAGTATCAAGTACCACATAAACATTAATTGATCAGTGTAAAAGCAACAGTAATAATAATAATAATAATAATAATAATAATAATAATAATAATTACCCTAAGCTAGGGCTTAATTTTTTGTATCTTTTTTCAATTCTGTCCTATTTTTAGCAATGTTACCTAATGATTTTAAGCCTTGAGGGAAAATTCAGCTATATCTCCTTTGAACTTCAGATATATCATGTTGTAGGAATGCTCCAGAACTGTATTATCTGACACTTTTATAAATAAAATCCTCATCATTCAGAAAAATCCTGAGTTTGATACTTTGCAAAATGATTCATCTTCCATAGTTAGTTACACTTCACTAAAGAGAGGCAAAGTGTTTGAATTGAAATAATAAAATTCTGTAAGTGAAATATTAGGATTCAGTCTGTGGATGGGGATGTAGTTTCTGTACAGTGAGATATTTTTGTGTCCTTGAAGTAACACAGAGTAGGTATTATAATACAGAGTAGGTGGACTATTTACTCTGCTTACATGTAAGGCTGATTCTCCCTCTAATACTTCATTTGAAATTTGTGTGTGTGTGTCTGTGCACATGCGTGCACATGCGTGTATGTATATACAACTCTTGCTCATACATTTAATTTTCCCAACTTCAAGAAAATTATTATTTTTTCTAGTCTCTCCATTTGGACTTGATAGGAGGCAATTGACTCTGATTTCAGTAATTATAAAAATAATAATGGCTCCCTTTGTTGAGCTACTATGTGTCAGTGGTTGTATCAGAAACTAGAGAAAAGTGAATGCAAAACAACTCTTCCCATCTAGAAACTTGTATACAGTAGAAGAGTCAAACACATAAATAATTTCTTTATTTTTAAAGATTTATTTAGTTATTAGAGCGCGTGTGAACACGTGGCGGGGGGGAGGGGCAGAGGGAGAGGGAGAGAGAATCTCAAGCAGACTCCACACTGAGTGGGGAGCCCGATGCGGGGCTCGAACTCACAACCCTGAGATCTTGACCCTGAGATCATGACCTGAGCTGAAACCAAGAGTCAGATGCTTAACCGACTATGCCACCCAGGCACCCCTAATTTCAGCACAGTGTGGAAAGTGCTATAGGTTTGCACAATCTGGGAAAGGAAATTGGGAAAGGCTTCCTAGAGAAGACATTATTCATAAAGAATTCTTAAGCATGAACATGAGTTAGCCTGGGAAGTGCAGATTAGAGGAAGAAAAATGATGAAAATACAGGTGTGAAGACATAGGACATAATATAGTGTGGCATGTACACTTATCTCAAGTAGGCCAGGTTTCTAGCACATAAAGTACAAGGAGAGGACATATCCAGGGATGAAATAAGACAGTGTCATTATCTTAAACTATATTTGACCTTTAACTCAGAAATTGAAGCTTAAGCTGTGAGTTGCTAAGAAGCCTAGGTATTCTCTTGTAGCAAATCAGGAACCTGGAGTGGCATAGGCACGTGTGTGTTTCATATAGATGCCCCTGACATAAATCCAGAGCAAGTACTTTAGAAGGGCAGAAATGCATTTAGAGAGACCAGTTAGGAGGCAACTGTATGAATTTAGTGAAAGATTATGAGGATCTGGCCCAGGGCAGTAGGTACAAAAAAAAAAAAAAAAAAAAAAAAAAGGGATAGAGTAGGGAAATGTTTAGTGTGTAGAGGTGTGGGAATTTGGTGACTGAATGGAGAGAGGAAGGAGCAAGGAAGACTTCTAGTTTCTAGGTTGGGGAGATGAGTGAATGCTGGGTGCAATTAACCTACATGTGAGGAAATAAACTCTCCCAGATTTCTCAGCACGCCTATAAAAAGCTCTGGCTCCTGAGAAACTTCCCATACCATGGGAACTAGATCTGCAGTCATGTGTCTAGTTAATTTGTCTCATCCAAGAGGACCAAATGGTTAGAGCCCAGAGTAAGTTCCCAGGTTCAGCTCCAAGCTGTCAGCAAGACTGGAATGCCTATCTCTTTAGGTCTTTAGAGCTTGGGGAAAAAAAAATCCCAGACCTTGATGACATTTCCTTTGTAAAATCTGAGGCATGTGGGGTTGTCTGGCTTCTAGAAAAGTTGGAGTTAGGACTCAGGCCCTTTATGTTTCCAAGGAGACCCTTTCAGGAGGAGAAGGGGACCCTTTCTGGTGGAAAAGGCCTTCTTCCCCTTTACAAGAAAGGAAAACCCTTTTTCCTGGTCTCTGGCCTAGGGAATAAGCAGCCAGTCATGTAGGAACATTTTCCATTGGCTCTCCTCACGTCTCCCTAGGGGTAAGACTTGGGGCAAAGGCCAGGATGGGGGGATGTGGCAATGATATTCCCTGTTAGGTAACTAAAAGAAATCTGTGTCTGATCCAGAACACCTCATGTGCACATTTAGGATAAAATTAACGAAGAAGAATATTAAAAACCCAATACTAACATGAGGGGGGAATTTGTTTGGAGAACAGAGTAAGAGGATATGATATGCTCAGCTTGGATAGGTACCATTCCTTCCAGAAGGAAATAAATACCAAAGTCTGAAGTTTAGGGAGAAGAAAAGGAGATTTAGGAGCCATTTTCTCAGTTAACATCCACTGAGTGCCTATGATTATGCATAGAGACAAGGATTACAACTACCTAAGGAGATGAGACTGCTCAGGCAGTGGAGTGGGCTAAAGAGAAAATTCTGGAGAATATACAAAATTTATGGGCAGACAGAGGACCTGGATCCCATGAGAGGCCAAGAAAGAATGGAATGGACAGGTAGAAAGCTTGGGGGAAATGAGAAGTATAGAACTATGGAAGAGAGAGGAAGAAAGTGACTGAGAGCTTCCAACCATGACACACAAAGGTAAAGCAAGATGGGCACTGAGAAGTGCTCATTGGACTGGTGAGAGCAATTTCAGTGGAGGGCAGTAGCTTCAGAAGTAGGTTTAGTTGAGGAGTGAGTGGGAGAAGAAGGAATAAGTATTTTATTTTTATTATTATTATTTTTTTTATTCTTATGTTAATCCCCATACATTACATCATTAGTTTTAGATGAAGTGTTCCATGATTCATTGTTTGTGCATAACACCCAGTGCTCCATGCAGAACATGCCCTCCTCCATACCCACCACCAGGCTAACCCATCCTCCCACCCCCCTCCCCTCTAGAACCCTGTTTGTTTTTCAGAGTCCATTGTCTCTCATGGTTCGTCTACCCCTCCGATTTCCCCCGCTTCAAGGAAATAAGTATTTTAGATGAACACTGTGCAACATATTTTTTTTTCTGACAGGAAAAGAAGGAAGATGGGAAGGAGGACAGACTGGATTACAATGTAAAAGGAAGACATGTTCTTTTTAGGATAGGAATGGTTTGCACACAGGGTGGAAGATGGAAGCTAGCAGTAGGGTAACCGACCATCCTGGTTTGTCGGGGACTGGGGAGTGCTTCATGACTTTGAATGCTAAAACCAGGACAGTCTCATGCAAACTAGGACAGTTGGTTACCATAGCAGAGAGGAATCTATTAAAGACCTAGACGGGGGAACGTGGAGATAATTGTTGGAGTAAGGTCTGTCAAATAAGGAAACGGATCTCAAAGGTCTCATCAAATTGACAAAGTCTAAGACACTGTTTGATGATGCAGCTCCATTGTTAGAAGTGAACACCATTGTGAGGGACCACTCGTTTGCCCCTCGAGTTGTTGCCAAGGGCTCAGCACCATCACAGCTGCACAGTTCATTTCTTAAATAGGAGTCACTAAGGATTAAAACGAGTCTAAGGAAAAGACAAAGGAAGTTCTGTCATTACAAAGACATAAGCACCATTATTTTCACATCGTTGTCTGAAATTAAGAAAAGAAAGTGGATGGAAGAGAAGGTTATGTGCTCTATCTTCAGCATTTGGGAACATGTAGAGGAAATATAAGAAAGGTTAAAAACCCCAGGAAAAAGGGAGAAATAGTTGGTTCAAGACAATCAGAAGACAAAGAAAATGGTAATGTTTCTCACCATATGGAAAAAACCATAAATAGGAACACATCATTTTAAGCATGGTTAGAAGGAAAGGTCTTATTCCATTTG